TAACCCTTGTTCACGCCACCACAGCAGCCCCAACACCAACGCACACAGCACAAGACAGCAGGTTGCGCACGCCACGCCACCATGTACATACGCTATGGTGGTCCCTCCGTCTCTTACAGCACCACACACTCAGTGGCAGTGAGCCCTCTATAGCACGCTCACCCCACAGCACACCCGTCCAGCCATATACCGCACGCAGCCACTCACCGTCAGGCCACACACACGCACCACACGGAGCAGTGTCAGCGTCCTCCGCACGGTGCACAGCGGCAGATTCCCCAGTTGGGGCCGCACTCGCAGCACTCTCAGAGCGGCCACCCCTAAGCCGTGGGAATCGCCATCGTCGCACGTCTCCAGCAAGGTGACAGCCCACAAATGGACCACTGACCACAACCCTTCTGTACACGGTGCTCGCCTGCCGGTTCGCTCAGTAAAGGGTCCGGCTCTCATGCCGTGCAGTGGGCCGTGTTGTGTTCGGCGTGGCCAGGCCCTCGAGTCGACCACCACCACATCTGGCACAGACATCGCCGCAACTGTCGCAGCCCTCGCCGTGTCACGCCTCTGTTTCGCGCTGGTGCTCTGTTCACCTCCGCTATCGTGGTGGCGTCCGCTTGTCCCGCAAGAAACTCCCGGCAAGAGTCAGCTCCCTTTCGTACCCCTTCCTCGCCCCTGCTCGTCTCCTCTGCCTTTTGCCGTGCGAGCGTTGAGGAAGCGGTGGGCTCATCACGTCGGAGCTGGCGCGGTGTGCCGACGGTTGAGCACGGGGCGCTGCGACACTCCGCCGTTCAGCAGGAAGCCGCCGTTGCTGCTGCAGTTGCTTCCTCTTGGTGGGCAGCTGCCGCACGTTCTTTGGCCCCTCGGCACGGTGGAGTGGTGCCGCAGCGGTAGACAGCGTCGCGTGCTGCACCCGAAGAGCCCGCCACACACCACCACGGCCACGCCCTCTGCCTCTTCCACAGCGCCAGTGCAATTTCCTCGCAGAAGGGGTTCTTGCGCGAGATGCGGTGGTTCATCAGCACCCTGCACATCCTCTTGAGGGAATAGTGCTGTGGCGGTTTGTGCTGCTTCGCGATGAACAGCAGACGGCGCAAGCACCCAGGCAAGTGGTGGCAGTCGACCAAAAAAACGTTCAAAACGTTCCCCAAACAGTTCGCAGGCATACAGAGGCCGCTGTCGCGCTCCTGATGTGGACGGTGTGCCCTCACAAGACACAGCCTCGGCCACCCGCGCACGAAAACAGAACGCAGCTGCTCCTCCACCACCGGCGATGGTGCCGAGGGGTACGTGGTCAGCGCCACTGCAGACTCCTTGTTGTTTCGGGGCAGGTGTGTCAGCATGCCAGTGATCCCATGCCCCACGGCAAAGATGGGAAGATAGAGGACGCCTTGACGGCACACCTGCTCTGCGGGAGCCACTTGGCGTTCTCGGCAGTCAAGGACACCGTCGTGACTATGTTAATCTCTGTAGGTTTCGCCCTTCGTTTTTACATTACTCTCTGTTTCCCCTCTTTCAGTCGCATGTTCTTTCCTCTTTCAGTTATATTTAGTC